AAAAATCCCCCCAAAATAAATAACAACCAGAAACAAGATCTGTCCATACAAATGTATTTATCTACAGCCCTGTTTATTTTCTGTGCTTCTGGTGAATTGGCACCATATTTTTGTTGCTGATCAAATAGAGTTGGTAGTTTAGGCTCAGGATGCTCCTGTTTCTACCTCACTATGTGATCAGAGAACCAGGGGTTACGGGAGAAACCAAACGTTTTTTCAGCTTCAATCTGTGACTTTACAGTTAACGTAACTTTTCAGACACACATAATTGTGTTGTCCTGTTAAACTAACATTGTCTATTAATGTTACAGACGGGCATGACTGATAAAGTTTTCTGCTTAGCTCCAACATTAACGTTAGAAATTATATTTTAGTTTGATGCTGGCGACACCAGCTGCTCAGCTGCTAGTGAGGGGAGGGGCTGTACTTTTCGTCTGGGAATATTAAATATTTCCAAAGAGCGCTTTTTCCTTTATCATTTTTGACCCAAACTGGCTGCTCTGATCCTCCCGCAGCTGCGCTGGCCATATTACAGCAACAGAAATGTGTGCATGCATGCACAGCGACGACAACAAGCTGGGTTTGCAGCCAGGGCTCTGTGCCTGCCAGACGCTGCCCGCACAGCGCGTGTCCGTCGGACCCGTCGCCCGCACCCGACAGGCGCTGAGGTGGCGTGCACTGTTAGTATCGATACTTTTGTAAATTAGTATTGTATCCGGATACAGCGTTTGAGTATCGATACTTATCAGAGCATCGATACTTTTGACAACCCTACCCTCGACGCAGAGTCACGCTCTCCCTCGTCTGCTCCGTACGAGCCGTAGGCTATTCCGTGATCATCGCCACTCTAATCTGGGGGCACGAATGGTCTAAAAAAGGCATCAATATTCACTCTGACAACACAGCAGTAGTAGATATAATCAATAAAGGCCGTTCCCGTTCCCCAGCCATCATGCCATTCACCCGCAGACTCACTCTCATCTCCGATCAGTATCAATTCATCCTCCGTGCATCTCACATTCCCGGTCACCACAATGCCATCGCTGACTCACTCTCCCGCTTCTCTTTCCAGAAATCCGGACACTGGGCTCCAGACTCAGATGTCCATCCCACACCGATCCCACCGTTTTCAGCAACCATATTCAACCAAATCCTCATCTGGCAAATCTCACTCACATCTCCCAAGAAACCATCCTTAACAGTTTAGCACCAAGCACGCTATCTGCCTACCTCACCGGCTGGAACTCTTTCAAGAATTACCACGCCACTTATCTTCTACTGTTTCCCTCTCTGGATGCCATGTTCATATGCAACTTCATCACACACTGTCATACCGTAACAAAGATCCGGGCCTCCAGCATACAAACATATCTAGCTGGTATCAACTTATTTCATAAATTATCCACCGGCCTCCCTTGTCAATCAATCTCGCACGCTCACGTCACCATGCTAATCAAAGGCTTACGAAAGCACGAACCAGCGCTGACAGCCAGACGCCTCCCTCTCACCTCCGATCTGCTCAGCTGCTGCATACGCACTCTGCGCTCCGGTTACATCTCTCCCACAGTCGACTTAACACTGGAATCAATGTTTCTACTCGCTTTCTTCGGATTCCTGAGGTGCTCTGAATTCGCTCCAACATCATCTGTCTACGATCCTTCCCGTCATCCCAGTCTATCCGACATCACCACCCACACT